CAAGAGCCCAGCACTGCCCCAGCCCAACCTGGCCCCGCTCCATCCCGGCTCCTCCCGCTCCATCCCGGCTCCTCCCGCAGGATGCGATTGCGATGGGAAAAGGAGGGGCCAAGGGCGGGCGCTGGGCCCGGGTGGGGAGCAAAACAAGGGATGGAGGAGGAGGGCAGAGGAAGGAAAGGGAGAAGGGCCGGAGAGGAGGAGTAGGGATAAATAGGGAATAGGAGTGGGACTCCTACCAACCCAATTTGGGGGGAGTGTTCCCGCCCCCTCTTTTCCCCCACTCTTTTGCCCCCTTCCAATCATCCCCCCACTCTCCAGCTCTGTTGCCAGTGCATGGGTCTGGGGGTTCCAGGCCTCTCCTCCTCAGTCTAGGGATCCCATATCCCCTTTCACTCAATTCTGGCACCTACTGGCAGCTCTTTCCTGGGAGGAATGCCTGAGTTTGGGGATTTTTAGGGTGCAGTTTTGGAGTGGGACAGCTCTGTCTGGCTTTCCCCTCCCTGCTGTGGCCTCTCAGCTGCCCCCCACACCCTGGGGGTGCTGGGATTTCCCTCCTGGAGACAAGGACATTCCTTCCCTTCCAGGAGCCTAATGCCCAGCTGGGGCTCCAGGGCAGGGGGGTCCTTGAGCAGCTGCCCCAGAACCTCCGCCAGGGGCTCCCAGTGCAGCCGCAGCCGCTCGGCCTGGGCTCCCCAAAGCCCTCAGCAAGCCCCAAGTCCCTGCCAGGAACCCTCAACTCCCTCAAGCACAGCATCCCCCACAGCCCCTGCAAGTTTCCCCCATGGCAGCGGCCATGGCCATGTCCCCACATGTCACCAGCCATGTCCCACCAGGTCCTCACCCAGGGCTGTCTCCCCACCATGTTTCCATCCTTGTCATTGTCCCCCACATCTCCATCTGTGTCCATGTCCCCCCGTGTGCCCATGAGTAGCCATGTCCAGGTCCATGTGTCCCCATGCCACTCTCCATGTCTGTGTCCCACCATGTCTATGTCCTTCAATGTCCCCACCCATGTCTTATCTCAATGTCTTTATTTTTACCCCAATTTCAGGTGTTTTCAAAGGCTGAAGAGAAATGAGAAGCAAATCAAGGCTAAAAGAAAAGGATTTCAGTGTCTGTGCCAGCTGAGGGTCCCCATGCTTGGGTGGGAGGGAAGAAGCTTTTTTGGAGGGGTCTCCACCTCACTGTCTCCAAAATCTTCATCTTTGCCCCAGTCCATCACCATTTGGCTGAGGAAAACACCCTTGGGCAATAGGAAGTCGAAACTGTGGAATCACTGAGGTAGGAAAAGTCCTCCAAGACCATCCACTATTCCTTGATGTCACCAGAAGATAGGATTGAATGAAAAAGGTTTTCTGGGGTTGAAAAATTTTTTTCAACCAGAAGAAAATTTGTTGATCTGCTCTCCCCAGAGAATTCCCATTCTCGGTCAGTGTCCTGATGGATCTTCCTGCTCCTGAGTTCATCCAGGTGCCAACAGAGAGCCAGGAAGATGTGGAGCCCCCCAGCCAGGTGTCTTCCCAACACAGATCACCAGGACCACGGATCACCAGGGCTCTGCCCAACGGGGGTCACTGGGGACCATCCAACGCCGATCCTCCCATGGGGAATGGAGCTGCAGCAGCACACAAAGCTCTTCCCACACTTCCTGCAGGGCTTCCCTTAGTGGTGCCTCCGTTGGTGTTTGGTCAAGGCTGAGCTCCTAGTAAATTTCTTCCCGCACTGTGGACACTCGTAGGGCCTCTCCCCAGTGTGGATGCGCTGGTGCCTGACGAGGGTGCAGTTGCGGTTGAAGCCCTTCCCACAGTTGGGGCAGCAGAAGGGCCTCTCATCCGTGTGAACCTGCTCATGTCTGAGGAGAGTGGAGCTGGTCTGAAACCTCTTCTGACACTTGGGACACTTGTAGGGCTTTTCCCCAGTGTGGATCACCTGGTGCTGGATCAATTTGGAGCTGTAGCTGAAAGCCTTCCCACATTTCAAGCACTTGTGGCGCTTCTCCCTGGCCTGAGCCTTCTCCCCCAGCTCTGAGCTCTGGCTGCATCTCCAGACACCATCCTGGCACAGAGGGGGTCTTTCCTCCCCGCAGCTACCTGGGCTTCGTTTGCAGCCCCTCCTCGTGTAGCATCTCCTAGGCTTTTCCTCCTCCTCCATCTGGACACTCCTTAGGAATGAAAGACCCCAGCTGGGGGGGAAAAAACCAGAGGAGAGTGCCTTGGGCTGGGGGTTCCTCCTTGCCCAAGTTCATCTCAGGAAGTCACTGGGCATCTTGTATCTATAAGAACCTCTAAAACATCAACTTTCAGCACAAAAACCCTCCAAACCTCAAGACACAGACAAAAAACTCCCCAAACATCAAGATTCAGACAAAATCCCCTTCAAAATTGAAAGATTCAGCCCCTGGGAAAATTCAAAGCACCAACATTTACCCCAGTAAAGCTCAAAACCACCAAGATTCAGTCCTGTGAAAATCATAGATCCCCATCCCCGGTCACCTGCTGCATGTAGGGGGACAACACTCCTGGGGCTGGGGGGGCTGCAGATAGAGGGAGGGGTGGAACCTTGTAGTGCTGCCTCTTTCTGCTCCTCCTCCTCCTCCTGTGTCCCTACTCTTCCTCACACTTCTGCTCCTCCTATTCTTCCTTCTCCTGCACAATCCCACCTTCTCCTCCCATGCTCACTGTTTGACCATTTTGTTCTTCAATCCTGCTTCTCCTTCCCTTCTCCTCCTGCCCCCAGGCCCAGCACCCACTGCCGCCTCCCTCTTCCCCCCCAGTCCCACAGCATCCCACTGCAGGGGCAGGGATGGAGCTGGGCCAGCTCGGCCTGAGGCAGCGCTGGGCTCTCAGCCACACTCGCTCCCCACTGCAGCCGCTCCCGCCACCACAGCGCGG